CGCGGCCGGGTCTGTGGGGCAAGGAGAAGCAGGGAGCTGCCTTAGCCCCCCTGCTGCACCGCTGCCCGCGACCCACTTGAGGTCAGCCCCTCCTGCCCCAGCGTGACCCCCACCTCCCCAAAGCCCCAGCCCCCAAAGCTCCCATCCCCAGCCCCACCCCGGAGCCCCCACTCCAGTCCCATTCGGTCGGGTCGCGGCATCGACCGTTTTCTTCAACTAGGTCACGAGAAAAAAAGTTGGAAATCCGCCGGGCTAGGTCTGTGGCCCGGGAGAGGTGCAGCCCAGGGCCTCCCGTGGGCCTGGCATCCCCCACCTCCCCAAAGCCCCAGCCCCCAAAGCTCCCATCCCCAGCCCCACCCCGGAGCCCCCACTCCAGTCCCATTCGGTCGGGTCGCGGCATCGACCGTTTTCTTCAACTAGGTCACGAGAAAAAAAGTTGGAAATCCGCCGGGCTAGGTCTGTGGCCCGGGAGAGGTGCAGCCCAGGGCCTCCCGTGGGCCTGGCATCCCGGCAGCCACGGAGTCCTGCTGCCCCCTCCTGGCACAGAGGGAAATAAAGTCTCATTCTGCGGTTTGTCCCCTGGTTTCATGCCGTCTATTCCTCACCCCCCTTCCCGAGGCCCTTTCCCCTTCCCCAGTCCGGTTCGGCAGGACATTGAAACCGAACCCCCCTCCCTTAGCACGGCTTCTACGGTGAGCTCTTCTGGGGGGCCTTTGACCGGGGAGCCCTGATTCCGGCTGGCCTGGAGGTGCCGCTCTGCGAAATCCAAGCAGCCATCGGTTCCTTCTCTCAGCAAAAACAGGACCCGGGGCCTGGAAAAGGAGAACAAGAGCCCTAAGACCCGGGTGCTTGTTTGGAAGCCCCTAAACCCCAATCAATCCGCCGACGGAAGGGAGCCGCTGCCCAGCGCATGGTGCTGTCCGGAGCTGCGCCGTGGCCACCTGGCTGAAAAGCCACCTGCTTAGCACTGTCCCTTCAGCCCTGCCTCGGCACCTCGTAAATACCCAGACCAAGGAGGGGAGGGACTAGGAATAAGAGGGCGGCATTTAGAAAGGGGGACAACAGAGAGCAAATATAAGGCAAGCTTCTTGGCAGAGATGGGTGGATTTGGGGCAAGGGGGGGACCCCATCCCATCGGGCACTTAGGATCAGCCCAAACAAACCGCTGGCAAATGGAGAATGCGTGTAGCCAACCTGTGGAACTCCTTGCCAGAGGAGGCTGGGAAGGCTGGGACTATAACAGAGTTTAAAGAGAAGCTAGATAATTTCATGGAGGTTAGGTCCATAAAAGGCTATTAGCCAGGGGATAAAATGGTGTCCCTGGCCTCTGTTTGTCAGAGGCTGAAGAGGGATGGCAGGAGACAAATCGCTTGATCATTGTCTTCGGTCCACCCTGTCTGGGGCACCTGGTGCTGGCCACTGTCGGCAGACAGGCTCCTGGGCTAGATGGACCTTTGGTCTGACCCAGTACGGCCGTTCTTATGTTCTTATGAGAAAACTCGGCACGGTCCAGGCTAGGGACTAGATGCCCTGCTCCGCCTTGCCCAGCTTTTGATCCCCTGGTTTGTTATTGTAGGGTTACAGCCATGCACACCTGGCCGCGGCTTGCTTTTCCTCCTGTTCCCCGGACAGTCAGGGAGCGAGGGGGAAATACTTGCATTGCTGCAGGCCTCTGACCCTTGCTGGCGAAGGGAGGGGGCAGAGGAGTAAATCAGGCCATGCAAGTACTTGCCCCTCGCTCCCTGAGAGTGGGGGGAACGGGAAGAAAAGGAAGCCGCGTCCCGGTGCTACCCAGCCTCCCGAAACTCCGCCCTTGGTCCTGTCCCCTTGTATTTCACCCCATTGCAACAGCTCCCCCGTCACTCCCAGCCCCGCAACAAGGCGCTGCCTCGGCGTCTCCCAGCGCATCTCCCGTTCGGGGGTCTCCGGGTGTCTGACTCCCCCACTGACTCCAACAGAGCAGGCCGAGGCACAGTAATGCTGCTTGGGGGGCAGCCCAGCGCTCCCAGTAACCGGCCAGGGTCCTAAGACTAAGGAGACGCTCTCCCCTCTGAGATAGTGAAGCACCGGAACAGGTTGAGAGGAATCCCCATCATGGAGGGTTTTTGGAACAGGGATTTTCTGGGTTTGCTTGGCCCTGCCTCAGCATGGGGGGCTGAAGGCTTAAGAAATTCCTAGAGACCTTCCCAGCCCTGCGGGTCTGTGATCAAGCATGTAGCGTGCTCAGCCCTTCCCTCTTTGGGTTTCCAACCTCACATTCAACCCAGAAGTTCCCAGGTACCCCCACTTATCACCTCTGAGCCAGGCAGCTCTCTGTCCCGCCACAGACCCTGAGCAGGGTTCCCTGTAAGCTGGGCACTTGGGCGGCCGCTCAGGAGAGATTAAAAAGCTTCCCAGCTGATTAGCAGAGCACCCACAGCCAGTGTATTTCTATTGGTGGTGCACATCTGCATATACATTGGCGCACAAAGTAAAATTTATTCCTCACGTGCATTGACCACATTAGAAAAAATTCTGCCCTGCCCTCCTCTGGATCACCTCACAACTGGGTTTTACCATGCTCAGGCGGCAGCTCCCCATCACAGCCGCTCCATAGCGGGGCCATGACATAGGCTGGGCTGGCTCCAAGTCCTTACTCCTTGTTCCAGGCCGTCTTTACGTCCCAGGCCTGATACAGCGCCCAGGGCTTTGGAGGCACTGAAATAAAAATCAAAACTAGATTAGTGCCTGAGAGCGGCAGCTAGACAATCCCCCCCCTCCCCCCTTGCAGTGAGATCTGCAGGCTCCCAAGTCCCTTGGCACATTTTCAGTAGCAACTCCTGCCTTCCTTGCTATGGGGCTGGACCTGGACAGAGTCAGAAAATGACACTAATTAAACATTTCCAAGCATTGCACCCCTCTCCTCCATCCCCTTCCGTTCCCCAAAAGTCTTTACGTGGGAGGGAACAACTCCCTTAAAACTAAACTAACTGGAGACAGGATGGGCAACGCTAAGCCCAGTATTAATGCTGCAGGAGCTACAAAAACAACTGCCCATTACAGCATTTTCCCTGCAGAGCTGGGATCCCAAGCTCAAAATCTGTGGCATTCAGAAAAAAAAATGAGGGGGCACCCGGATTTGAACCGGGGACCTCTTGATCTGCAGTCAAATGCTCTACCACTGAGCTATACCCCCTCTACTGGAGGAAAGTCTGTTATTGCAGAGTAGATTTCACAAGGACTGTTATTAACACACTGGGCCTTCACACTGCAATACACCAATGGGAGAGGCTGAGCTGTAAGGAATGTTTGTCTAGGGAGTGACTCTGAGCCGCAGCCTGACGGAGAATTAAAGCTTTTCACGAATGCTGGTTTGTTCCTCCATTTCTGATCATCGTGGTACAAGCTGGAGAATTAAACCTTGGGAGGACTGACAGATCTCAGAGACATAGTGCACAAATAACAGCCACCAACACCTGCTGCTGAAATATTCCCAGCCCAGAACACTGCCTGGCTCGTAGCTTTCCGAAAGGGGAGAGCAGTACCCGTTTGGTCTGAGACACCTGCTCCAGAGAAGAGAGGCCCTGCCAGGCCCTTGACATGGGCAGGGCTCAAGAACAAGTTTCCTGAGCCACCTCAGTTTCTCCATCTGTAAAATGGGGTTAATCCCACAGGGGATGGGTTGATGAGAGAATATGATCTTGGTAACTAATTGACCATTCATTTTCAGTGGGAAATATATCAAGGGAGGGATGATAGGAGTTACTATAGAGAATTTCTGAGTGTCTGGCTGGTGGGTCTTGCCCACATGCTCAGGGTTTAGCTGATCGAAATATTTGGGGTCGGGAAGGAATTTTCCTCCAGGGTAGATTGGCAGAGACCCTGGAGGTTTTTCGCCTTCCTCTGTAGCATTGGGCGCAGATCACAGCTGGAGGACTATCTGCATCTTGGGACCTTCAAAGTATTTGAAGGCTTCAATATCGGAGATATAGGTGAGAGGATTATTCTAGGAGGGGTGGGTGAGATTCTGTGGCTTGCACTGTGCAGGGGGTCAGACTAGGTGATCATAATGGTCCCTTCTGACCTTAAAGTCTATGAGTCTCTCCTGTGTAAAGTGCTTTGAGCATCTAGAGAGGCAAAGCGCTAGATAAGAGACGGCCTTTACGAAGGAAGGGAAATAACCCAGCACCGTTAATTCTTTCCACCCCGGCATTTTCCTCACTGGTAGGTAAGCGACTGTGTCAGAGAAGTTGTGTTGACCACAGGAGCTGAATGTGTTGCTTCTCGAATAGGGGTCGCTCTGGCTTACGCAGCCCTTGAAATCTCTCCAAATTCTTCTGCTCCTGGCTTGGCTGGCTTTGAATCTAGTTGTCCTCTGAGTAAGGAAGTTTCCCGGGAGACTCCATTTTGCCTCTCGTTGGCTGCCAAAAATATTCATTAGCACAGAGCTCTGGTTCCCTGGGGCTGCCTCATTCCCCAAAGAGGAAACCTCTGAAAGCCAGGAAATACAGCCTGCCGGGGAGGGGGCGGGAGGGGGACAGGCCGTGTAAACATGAAAGCCAAGCCATGAAGAGTTGTGTTCTCTTGCCCTTGCTCACTGCTTACAGCCTTTATCTTTGTCACTCACCACTCATCCTCCCTGCCCCGAGCGTTGGCTTGAAAAAGTCCAGATAATCCTGTTTTTCAAAGACCACACCCAGGTAAAAGGGTAGACAGGGCCATCCCCAGTCCAAACGCTGCCTCAGGGCAGGAGTTTTTTTCCTGCCCCATTCTATATTGTTGCATTGAGAGAGGCTTGATTGATATCTTTGGCGTCCCGTGAAATGTGTCCTTTACTGGGCACTACTTGCACACTTCAAGTCTCGAGTACACGTGCACAATGACACACAAAGACAAGGTTCACTGTATCCCAGCCGGGTTCCCGCTTGACTTCACTTTGTTCCTATATCTCACCGATCGACGGGCAACGCCCCTTCTATCCCCGTTAGGGCGTGGCTGGCCACAGTCTAGGCGCATTCAGGAAAATGTTACTCTCAGAAAGTCCAGAAGGTTCCACAAGATTCTATGAAGGTCCAGAACTTTCTAGGAGGTCGGCAGAAAACGGGTCCACATACGGGAATATGGCCTGGCAACAGAAGTTGCCCGGAAAGGGGAGGCCTCAGGTGGAAGGGGCGGGGCTAAGGACAGCCAGTCCTCAGTGCTGCTCGGATCACACCATGCCTTTCCCGCGCACCTTTCAGTGCCTGGGCCTGCTTTGAACAGTCTTCATAATCAAAGAGCCCACAGGTTAGATTCAGTCGCCCTAGACCAAATGTGATAAGCACAAATGCCCAGCGAGAGGCTGATAAAGGGAAGTGGCTCTACCGTAGGGTTGCCAGATGGTTTCAACAAAAATACCGGACACACTTGACATGACATCACAATCGACATTCCATCTGATTTAGAAAATACCCGACATTTCTATATTCTCATTTCTATTGTCTCAATTTGTGTCCCGAACAGAAAGCTCAGATACTAGACTGTCTGGTTCACAACCGGACACCTGGCAACCCTACGGTCTACGGCGCTAAATACATATTTGCCGTGTAAGACACTCTATAAACACACAGCAATCGGGGGGAGAGCAGAGAGAAACCAGGAATCCTGGCTCCCAGCCTCTGTTTCAAGGATAGATCAGCTGCTTCCTAGCGCCTAGATTGGAGCCTAAGCGTGTCATCCAGGACAGGATGCTGCTGCGACAGCCGGTTTTCAAAAGATTTCTTAGGACTCCCTCTCTTCCCCTGAGCAGTCCCTGGGGTGGAAACGGGGCCAGCAACAGGGGGACCCTGAAGGGGCCGGAGGAAGGGGCATGTTTGCAAGCTGAGGCTGAAAACTAGGTTTAGTTTTCCCACTTGATTTACACTCACTGACTTCAGTAGACGTATATGTGGCCTGTAGGGTTGCCAGATGATTGAACAAAAAATACCAAATACCGCCCCCCCCCCCCAAAAAAAAAAACACCTGGGAAAAAAATTCTGTTGAGAAAAAAAAGGGGGAGACCAAAATTGTTGAGAAAAAAAAAAGGCACTACGCCTTTAAATGGCCCCGCACTCCTCATTCCCCTGCCCCCGCCAGATGCAGCAGGGGAAAATTGTCCTCACCAGCCTTCCATCCGAGAAAAACAGAAAATACCAGACATTTCACATGTCTGATATTTTCTGGGTTTTTTTACCAGACGGGGGACCCAAATAATGGACAGTCCAGGTGAAAACCGGACTCTTGGCAACCCTAGTTGCTTGCTAGAATTGCATTTTTCTACTAATCCAGCCGTTCTTAAACAGTGGGCCAGGACCAATGTTCCAACTAATATTTTACACCCATGTGCGGAATAAATTTTTCCACATGCACCGATACATGTGTGGATGTGCACCACCAGTGGAAACACAAAACCTAGCTGTGGGCACTCTGCTAATCAGCTGGGCGGCACTGGAATCTCTTCTGGGTGGCCGTCCAAGTGCTCTGCTTATGGGGAACACTGGTCAGGACTCCACAGTGGGTCGCAATCCCATTTTAATGGGGTCACCGGGCTGGCTTAGATGTGCTGTGGCTAGGAGGACTGCCAGCTTGGCTGGGTCTGTCCCCAGAGGTTTCACCGCATGATAGAATACTTAACTCAAGACGAATCTTTAGAGCCTAGAGACTTGTCCAGCACAATCCAGGGGGCTGGCAACCCGAGTGCCGAGGAGAAAGGAGAGGACTGGAGACAAATTCCAGAAAGACCCGGGAGACTAGACTACTACAGGGGAGAATCAGACCCCAAACCCCATGCAGCCCTCCCATGCTCCCTGGCTCCTGCATAGAGCCACTCCTCATCAGATCACAAAACACTTCAAAGAGGAGGGCAGGAGAGTCACCCTGTTTTACAAATGGGGAAACTGAGGCCTGCGACAGAGTGAGGAATAGTGAGCTTACTCAACACCCAGTCCTGTGGGGTCCATAGCACTACACCACCCCGGTAGCAGAGTATCTTGTTAAGCTGGGTCAACAAGCCGTGTTCCCTCTAATTTGTCCCATCCATGGGTGGAATACATTTTGTGATGTGCACCAAGGCATGTGTGGATGTGCACCACCAGAAAACACACACACAGCATTGTCCGTTCCAACCCCTCCCAAACCCCGAGCCAGGCGGCCAATTTACAAACCACGAGGTTTCAAACAGGAACACAGCTGCAGGTTCTGCTTATGGGTCCGATGGTTTCTGGGAACTGTCCGCGTGATGGTTCCCACTTTCTTCCGCCACCAGACACAGACTTTGAAAGCACAGGCTGTGCCCACACTCCAGTGACACCGTTACACTGCCTTGCTGTAGTATAAATCGTTCCTTCCTTGACAGACAGGCGTTTTCAGTCAATGTCGTTAATCCACCTGTCCGAGAGGTAGTAAGGAGGCTGACGGAAGAATTCTCCAGTGCTTAATTATGTCTGTCGCTGCCACTATTTCCACAGCCCTTAGCAAAGTCGCTGGGTTAATCTCATTTTTAGGCCTAGACTTTACCACACAATCTAATTAGCTGGGGCGACAGCAGAAGAGAGCTCAGCTCATCAAACTGTGTAAATACCCTGCCACACGGGAGCAGAAATAACGGGCAGGAGAGTCCAACGTTACTGTGATCTTGGTTAGCTGCGGTGGGTGACATTCAAGGCCTAGCACAAGGCCTGGCCGCCCCTACGCAGGCCGTCTCTGGGGCTAAGGGGTGTATTTGACTTACTGTAAAATGTATTAAAGAGGCAGGAACTGGAGGGGGAGGTAAAGGGGAGGAATCAGTCACTGGGAAGCAGCATTGTCTAGGGAGAATCAGCACAGCGGACTGCATTTGCTTGTTTGCCCACAGTGGGTCAGTCCACTCAGCCCCCCAGCTGGGCCAATTTGTCCCAGATAAGGCCCGCAGCACCGGGCAAACACAGCCATTTGCAAACCCATTAGGAGAGGCTCAGGCAGGGGGATGAGGCGACAGGTCCATAAACTACCCCCAGGGACGCCTCTAGACAGCTGAGGCTAATAATATGCCTCAGCTGGGCCAAGAGGCTCTGCAAGCGCTTTATAGCATCATTAGGCCCCTTCCTTGCAAATGGGGAAACCGAGGCAGGGGGCGAAGGCATGACTCCACCAAGAATCATTCCGTGAACGTAGAACCCAGGAGTCCTGGTTGCCAGTTGCCATCACTAGGTCACCTGCCCACTAGATCACGACAGCACCTTAATGGTTCACAGTCATGCTGGAAGGGCATCACAGGTGGGGTTCCGCAGGGGTCTGTTTTGGGCCCGATCAACGATTTAGATAACGGCACCGAGAGAACGCTTCTTACGTTTGCAGATGCTGCCAAGCTGGGAGGGGTTGCCAGGGCTTTGGAGGGTAGGGTCAGAATTCAAAATGTTCTGGACAAACTGGAGAAATGGTCTGAGGTAAATAGGATAAAGTTTAATAAGGACAAATGCAAAGTGCTGCACTTAGGGAGAACATAAGAGTGGCCGTACTGGGTCAGACCAAAGATCCATCTAGCCCAGTATCCTGTCTGCCGACACTGGCCAATGCCAGATGCCCCAGAGGGAGGGAACACAATAATCATCACATGATCCCTCTCCTGTCATCCATTTCCAGACACACAGAGGCTAGGAACACCATTCCTACCCATCCTGACTATTAGCCATTGATAGACCTAACCTCTATCTATCTAGCTCTTTTTTTAACCCTGATAAAGTCCTCTGGCAAGGAGTTCCACAGGTTGACTGTGCACTGAGTGAAGAAAAACGTCCTTTTGTTTGTTATAAACCTGCTGCCTATTCATTTCATTTGGTGACCCCTAGTTCATATATTGTGGAAATAAGTAAATAACTTTTCCTTGTTCGCTTTTTCCACTCCAGTCATGATATAGACCTATCCCCCCTTAGTCTCCTCTTTTCTAAGATGAAAAGTCCAAATCTTTTTAATCTCTCTTCATATGGAACCTGTTCCAAACCCCTCATCATTTTTGCAGGAACAATCAGTTTCACACATACAGAATGGAAAGCGACTGTCTAGGAAGGAGTTCTAGGGGTCATAGTGGACCAAAAGCTAAATATGAGTCACTAGTGTGACACTGTTGCAAAAAGAGCAAATATGATTCTGGGAGGCATTAACAGGAGTGTTGTGAGCAAGACAGGAGACGTCATTCTTCCGCTCTACTCTGCGCTGATTAGGCCTCAGTTGGAGTTTTGTGTCCAGTTCTGGGCACCACGTTTCAGGAAAGATGTGGAGAAATTGGAGAAGGTCTAGAGAACATGAGCTATGAGGAAAGACTGAAAGACTTGGGCTTGTTTAGTTTAGAAAAGAGAAGACTGAGAAGGGACATGAGAGCAGTTTTCAAGTATCTAAAAGGGTGTCACAAAGCCCTGGCAGGTGCAGACTGGCATGAACGGTGCCTGGTAATGTACCTGAAAACCACACCAGCCTGTACAGACCCCAACACAGGAAAGGACACATCCTTCGTAGTGACCCCTTCACTGAATGAGACCCCGGCCCTCCCACTGTTCCACCCAGCCACTTCCAGTCACAACAAAGCCTCAGAAAATCGGTGTTCAATCCTTCTGCCTGCCACAGCTAAGCCTGTGTCACCTCAGGCGCCTTGCTCCCACTGACGTCATTAGGAATTAGGGACCTCAGTACCTCTGAGGAGCTATGCCTCAGTTCTCCCATCTGTGAAATGGGGACAGCCAGCCTGTCTGCCTTGTCTCTTCAGCTCGTAAGTCCATTAGGGATGTTGCTGTCTCTACAGAGCCAGGATATCCTCAGGCCTGGCCGAATTCGATTTTTATTTTTGTATAATTTTGACAGATAAATATTGATGTTTAGTTTGAAGCATCGTTTTGGTTTTTTTTTTTTTTTTCCTTTTCAGTGTTCACAGTTGCAGGAAATTCTGAGCAGAGGAAGAGCCGAAAATTACTGGACACGATGAGATTCAAAACGTTCAAGCTTTATCCCCGTGAAGGCACAAACAGTCAGTGTCACGCAGCCGACGCAGGAAAGGCAACATCTGTAAATCAACCTCAAATCCGTTCCCGACCAGCACTTGTCTAACTTGGCTTATCTCTCCGTTCCGAGGCTCACCAACTGGAAGTACTTTTGCCTGGGCTTGTGTGTCGTTTCTCAGCAAAAACCGAGGCCTTCCAAGGCAGCTAATAATAACAATGCTGTGGCTAGCACATTTCAGCGGTCGTGCGGCCAGGGAGTTGCCAGATCCAAACAGATTTCTAGTCAAAGCAAAACTACTTCTCTCGTCTGCTGTCTCGCTCACAAACCCACATTCCCGTGTTTGCTTCGTGACCGTCTGTGCCCCTTGCATGATCCCAAGTAATGGAACTTGGCCAGGAAGCCCGGGTTCGATGCCCTGACTCTTACACAAGGGGCTGGTTAATGGCCATTATTATTTAATAGCTGTATTATGATAAGTCTCTCCTAGCCCCCTCACGCTAGACCCTGCCCCAACCAGCTTAAAGTCAAGCAGACAAGCCAAACAAAGGGCGGGAGGCGAAGCCAGCACAAACAAGAGCCGTACAAATATGTTCTAGCCCAGACTGAACTGAATCTCTGCATGAGGTTCCCTGACTGGGTCACGCTGGGGGGTGAGAATAAATGATCAGAAGACGCCTGCTTGGCCATAAGTTCCAAGTGCCCGGCCCCCCTGAGCGACGGGCTCTGTATGGTCCCAGCATTCTATGTTGCACGCTGGTTTCGCATCGAGACCCGCCGTTCGCACCCGCCTCAGAAGGCAGTAAGAGGCTGGACTCTGGCTAACTGGCGAGGTGCTGGAGCCGGCCGCATCCCGGGGCTGTCCTAGCGGGCTCAGGGATCCCGGAGCCAGCCTGCCCTCCTGGGGGCTCGTTTATTCTGGGGGCTGTTTGGGGAAGGCTGGTGATTAGACTAATCCCTTAACCCCTGATTGCCTCCTCCTCCCCATTAGAGGGTCAAACAGCTTTAGCAGCAGGGGCTGAGATAGGCCCTGGGGTATATAAAGCGCAGGGTTGCCTGTCGCTCCCAAGGGCAGATCTCCCTGCTGCCAGCTCTTCGCCATGCGGGCCTCTCCTGCCTGGCTGTGGCTCCTCTCCTTGCTCCTGCAGCCCCTGCCGGCGGCACACGGCTACATCTGGGCCTGGATGTATTCGCTGCCCTACCACGCCCCGGACCAGGCTGCCCTCCCGAGAAGCGCCAGTCCCCCGGCTGACAGCACAGCCAGCGTGGTAAGAGGGGGTGGGCGCTTCTCCTTCAGCCTGCCTGGTTTGACTGTAGGAGACAGCAGCATTCTTCTCATGACCCGGCGGAAGCGATCGTTGATCCAGCATCATTGGACTGGAGTGGGGGGTCTGGGTTAGGGCTCAGGATGAGAGCTGTGGGGTGCAGGAGGGGGCTCTTGTTTTGGGGGTAGCAGGGCAGGGGCAGATGGGGCTTCCCTTCAGCAGCTCCTGGTCAGTGGTGCAGCGGGGGGGCTAAGGCAGGCCC